ACCTAGGCTATGTGAGCTACTGTAGGGGGGTCACCCTTGTGGTGCTCCTCTGATGGAGAGACCTTCAGGTTCTCGGCATAGCATTGCCGAGTTGTCTTCTGGTTTGCCCAGACAGAGATGATCTTGCCATTGCTTCTTGGGAATTTCATCGTCAGGTGCGGGGTAGACACCACAGCTCCGAGTTGGTTCAACGTCGACCTTCCGATTATGATATTGTAGGATGTGTTGGCCTCAACAAGGAGGTATCTGACCATGATCCTCCTCGAGTCAGGAGGGGTCCCAAAGGTTGTCAGCAAATCTAAGTATCCTCGAGTGTGAACTCGCTCTCCTACAAAACCGACTAGGGGTTTTGTGTGAGGTTGAATGAGGGAGTGAGGGATATCTAACTTTAGGAACGTCAGCCAGTATAGGACATCAGCTGAGCTTCCCTGGTCTATCAGCGTCTTGTGGACCTCCCAGTTTGCTACTTCCACCGTGATGACCATAGGGTCATCCTGGTTTGGACAAACGCCAGTGTAGTCTTCGTCCGCGAAGGTGATGGGTGGAGTGTTGCAGTGTGGGGCCAAGGTGTCAGCCTGGACGTTGTTGATGCTCCGCAAGTGCCTATTTCGTGCCGAGCTACTGGAACCTCCCCATGCGAAGACAAAAGGATGGCGGCGGATGCTTGCCCTATGTCTTGGAGCCTGGGCAGGTGCATTGCTGACTTCATGGTTTAATTTATTCGTCGGTACGTGTGACCGGTGTACAGTAGACCTATGGGTCGCCGCCCTGGGTGCAGTCGGTGGCTGGGAAACCGAGTGCCCTTCTTCCTCGTTGTGATTGCTTTGTTGAGGGGGTTGATTAGAGGGGCGCCGAGGAAGCTGGGCGCGGATGCACTCATTCTCATCGCGCAGCACCGCCAGGTCGGCTTCGTGTTAGACACAGATGTTCTCCAAGTCCACGACGTGTTGTTGCCAAGTTTCCTCAACGCTGCTTCACTGTCCATTCTTGTTGTGCGATCTAAGTCGTCCGTTGCTTGTCTACTATGGCTTCGGGTGAAAACCATAAGCGTGGCCGATAAGAGATGTCTTGATCGGCCCCACGGTGGGCGCCAAATGTTCTTACCGGAGATCGGTCGTAGGGGATGATCTGCTGGACAAGATTGGTGAGCCTCCTTCGCTAGGTACGCTTGCTGCTCCAAAGTGAAGGTGGTACCTGCAAAAGAGACTCCGATGCTAAAGTTAGTGTTTGTGGATGTATGGGTCTCGTATAAGTAATGCACGTACTTTAGTGTGAATTAGGATTTATCTGGGCCTTGGGCCTGAGATTGGTTATGACCTGTTCAGATAGTGGGCCTTTGTCTTGGCTGATGTCATGCGATGCATATCCGATGTCAATCTTCGCTCTGATGCCGAGCTTGAACTCGGCTTAGCGGTACGGACAGTACAGGAGGGATCCATTTATTTTAAGATTAAATTTACCTAGATTTACTCCGTTCAATAACTCATGTTCTACATCAAATTTGTTGAATTTAAAGTTCTTAATCCATAAATCAAATTTACAAATTTTTGGAAAATTTGAAATTATTTAATATTTCGTTTCATTAATTCAAATCAATGTATAAAATGATTTTATAATTATCCGTCAACTTGAATTAATGAAATGAAGTATCAAATGATTCTCAAATTTTTTAAAAAATTGCAGACTTGATCTATGCATTAAGAACTTTAAATTCAATGGTTGAATCATTGAACTTGATGTAAAACATGAGTTATTGAACGAAGTAAATCTAGGTAGACTAACTCTTGGAGTAAATGGATACCTCCTATACATATATATAGGAGAATGTTAATGTACTCCCACCTATTTTTTTAGTGGGAGTATGTTAGCAATCTACACCAAAATTTTAGGACAAAAAAACTACTCATTTTTTTTATTTGGTTAATTTGTATAAATGATATTATAGTAATTTAATTTAATTTTAAATAAAAAATAAAATATTTTCTCTCTCTTATTAACTTCATTCTTAAGTCATTTCTCTCTCTTATTAAATTCCTTCTCCAACTCATTTCTCTTTCCTATTAAATTCTTTCTCTAACTTATTTATATCTCTCCTATTTAATTCCTTCTTTAACTCATTTCTCTCTCATCTCTCATGATGTCTGCCCCCTCTCTCTTTGAACAAATAAAAATTAATTAATATAAAAAATAAATGAATTGGAGAATGAAATTAATAAGAGAGAGAAAATACTTTATTTTTATTTAAAATTAAATTAAATTACTATAATATCCTTTGTACGAATTAACCAAATCAAAAGAAATGAGTGATTTTTTTGTCCTAAAATTTTGGTGTAGGTTGCTAACATACTCCCACTAAAAAATAGGTGGGAGTATATTAACATTCCCTATATATATATATATATATCATGTTTAATAGTCTTAAAAATCCTAAATTTTGAACAACTGAATTATCTAATATAGTAATATGGTGAATTCTCTGAAAGACCACTTTCACAAGTGGTCCATGGGTGGTCAATGATTAGTGAATGATTTTTGACCGTAGATATAACATTTAAAAAAATAACGGTTGTGATTAAGATTTAATCAGTAAGATTTTCGAATTGCAGAGTAGTCCTTGGAAGTTTGGTATTTTTCCGTATCGTTTAGGGTTCCGTTTATGAGGTAAGTGAGGTGGTAGCAGGTGGGGGTGTTGTCATTGTCTTTGTTCGGTGTTGGCAAGCGTGGGTGAAGTCCGGCGGTGCACGAGCGGCGGCGCACGGGCGTCCTGTTTTGTTTGTCGCAGTCCGCAAGGCGTCCGAAAATCCGTAAACAAAATTTTTTACAGCTAAAGAAATTTGTTTTAAACAACGAAGCCTTTTTCAAATTCATTTGACATTTTTTGAAATTCGTTTGACATTAAGCATTATTGGTGGGTATTTTAGTTTCCGTGTTGAGATATGAGGTTAAGGGTTTGTGGAATTTGGAGTTGGAAGAGGTGATTGTTGATGCGTTTGTTCAGGGCATTGCGCAGAAGAAGAAGAAGATTGTCGTCGGGTGAACATCGTTGATGGATGAATTTTTGGTTTTGTTGTTTGTTTCCATTTTTGTTTGGTTTTTTTACCTATTTTTTGTAATTTTAAGTTAACATATGTGGTGCTTTAGAGGTTGTTGAATGTAGGTTTAGAGTTAGGTTTTGTTGAAAATTGGGTTTAGGTTAATGGTATTGTTGTTTACTCCATTTCGTCCGTTTATCTAAAAATGTTATTGACAAATTTGATGTTTGTTATTGACAAATTTAGTTTCAGATGAATGGTAACACAGTGCGGCATGGTATGCAGTTAAGGCGAAGTCATATTGAGTGAATGGAGTCTGAGGTTGTATTTTACAGAGATGATGTTTGTGGGGCATTTGAGGAAGTTTAGGTACCTTATTGTTTTACGAAGTTTATGAAGTTGATCCATCATTTTGTGTGTATACGTTTGTAATCTTGTTTGTCCCCCCATAGATTGTTAAACACAAAATTTTGTTAGTTGAAGCAGAGAATGCAGAGATACAACTGCAGGTTAAAGAACGTCGAATAAGTTGTGTGACTTTATGAGCAGCTGGTCGTCATGGTTAGGTGTTTCCGTAACCCTTAATGTTGTGAATTTTATAGAATGTTGGGTTTGTTAGCAGAATACAAATTTTGTGATAGGTTTGGAAGTCCGTGATGAATTAGTTGTGCAGCAAAATACGTTATTTTTAGGTGTGTTATTAATAATTACAAAAGTTGTGGGAAAAGTATTTGATGGTTGAAGGAGAATTGTGTTTAAAAGTGAGGTTGATTATATTCGTCTGGGTAAACAATGGTTGATTAGCAATTATAAATGATATATAGCAGTTTGATGAAATGAAGATATGTATTTGTTAGCTGATATTGCATGTTAATTTGTTGAAACGTGAAATTGAACAGATTAGTTAGTATGAATTTGGTGTGGCAAGTATATATTTTTTGGGTTGGTTATGTGAAATATGATAGATAGGTTATAGTTATGGTGAGTTGTGTCGTAAAGTGTGGTTTAAGTTAGAATGTGGGAAGCGGTTTGAAGTTGCATTATGTCGTTGTAAATTTAGATATTTAAGATATTGGTATGTTAAATTTTCATAGTTTTTAATTGGGTATGGATTCGTGCATGTTTGTAGCAGATGAAATTGGTCATTAACTATTGATTGAAAGTTGTTAATGGCAGAAATAGTGATTTAATAATGTCAGTAATGAATAGTTATTTTAGTCTTAAGCATTAAAATAATAAAAAGCATGTGATTAAAAATGGATTCGTGTTTCTGGATGTAGAATATAATTAAAAAACATGTTTAAATACTACATTTAAAGTACAATTATATTGGATTCATTGCATTTAATAAATGACAAAATATGATATGTGATTGTTTGGGTGAGTGTTGGAAACTTGGGAAGAAAGGTACAATTATATTGGATGTCTTACAAAATATATATTCAAAAAAAGGAAGCAAATATTAATTGGGCCAAGTGATAGTAATTTTTGCATCCAGAATAAGCATCAAAAAATGTTCAGTACAGCATATGATGTTAATCGTAAAGGTGCAGGTTGATTCATGAAGTTGTTTGTCTGCATTGAATTTATGAAAGTCCAATATTTTGACAGAATTCTGCAGCTCTGATGTGGATGGTGCATTTACATTCATTATGATCACTGGATACCAAATCTAACGCAATTTTCATTCGAACAGTTTCTTCATCAAGGCTCTGAAAATGTGACATTGTTTGACATAAATTAATATGCATAAGTAAAATAAAATGTAATTTGAATTGTATTGCATTATTTGCTCACCACTTTGATTAAGTTTGGTTGGAATGCATATTCCATATCCATCCATTGCAAAACCCAAATAATAGAGTTGTTACTGTTATGCATTAGAAAAGAGAAATTGTGACCAGATTTACTCGTTCATTTTGTCCATGGTCAGCTACTATAATAGCTATATGCGAGGATGTATTCGGTATGAACTTGTATGGATTTGGTTATGACCGATCTGAAGATAATTATGTTGTCCTTCAAATTTATCTTAGTAAACGTGATACATCCCATCGTGCTTTGCTGTATTTTGTCAATCATGATTCATGGAGGGATTTCGAAGATGACTCCCTTTCCACCATTACACACCCTTCTGTTTCTGTTCATCAAGGATCTATGGGACTGTATTTTGCAGATTCTCTTCACTGGATTACTTTCAACTATGAAACAAATGCTGATGTTATTTTGCCTTATAATATATTTGAGTCAAAATTTTATCAACTAAGTATTCCGGATGAAGTTGAATTACAGGACTATAGTGTCTGTTGTTTGAGAAATATAAGAGACAGTTTGGCTATATGTACAGTCATGCATGATGCAAACTGGGACTACATGGTGGACATATGGGAAATGAAGGAATATGGTGTCACAACATCTTGGTCTAAGTTGACATGTATGCAGGTCAGTAATCACATTTCAGGATATATGTTACCCGCCTGTTCTTCAGAGAATTCCCTTGTATTTGTCAACAATGAAAGCGGACTTTTCGCCACATGGAATGCAATGGACGAGACATTAGAATATACGACTTTTGACCATGTACTCCCATTTGAACACCAAATGATAGTTTGTGAAGAGACACGGCCTCCTCCCCTTCTCCTCCTCCTTCCACCACCGTGAGTGAGTGAGTTTGGCCTACCTTGGGTGGCCTTCACCAACCTTAGTGAAGTGAGCTAGCCAAAAGGAGCAACACCCCACCAAACACCTCCCATACACCTTGTGCGCCACCTCCATCACCCTAAACACCAACCTTTTCCTTAGCACTAGGTTGCCTTTGGCTAACCTCCTCCCATCTCCACCATAAAAGCAAAACCCTAAATAGGTTTCATCCTACACTTGGATGAAACAACCTTGAGCAAACCCTCTTCACCTTCACCTTTGTGCTTCCGCCACCATCTCCTTCATTTTTCATCATCTTTTGGAGTCTCCCTTGTTGAACCAAGATCAAGGGCGTGCATGGAACTAAGCCACCTTCCATCAGATAATAACCGAGATATTTTTGCGGGGACCCGTGAAATCATTTTGCAGAGCCAAAGCGGTGTGTAAGCTTTGGTTTGGTTTGTTTGCTCAATCTGTCCTGGCGAAAATGCACTATGACCTAGCAGTAGACCAAAATAAAATCGCCAAAAAAATTATGTTCTTTTCATGTTTCGTAAATGAAATAGTATCAGTAGACGTAACGAAGCCTCTTGTTGCTCCAGACGCCACTTGCATTCTTCGGTCCCCATTGGGCAACTCCATTCGGTACAGTAAAATTGTTGGTACATGTAGGGGAATGGTACTCATTTCGGTGCCTACTTCGATGTTGATTTGGAATCCCTCTACCGGATTTACTCGTTCATTTTGTCCATGGTCAGCTACTACAATAGCTATATGCGGGGATGTATTCGGTATGAACTTGTATGGATTTGGTTATGACCGATCTGAAGATAATTATGTTGTCCTTCAAATTTATCTGAGTAAACGTGATACATCCCATCGCGCTTTGCTATATTCTGTCAAACATGATTCATGGAGGGATTTCGAAGATGACTCCCTTTCCACCATTACACACCCTTCTGTTTCTGTTCAGATAATTATGTTGTCCTTCAAATTTATCTTAGTAAACGTGATACATCCCATCGTGCTTTGCTGTATTTTGTCAATCATGATTCATGGAGGGATTTCGAAGATGACTCCCGAATTCCGAGAATATATTCTCTTAGGTGTGGTGTTTACTCCTGTATCTGGATTTGTAGTTGGTAATGTTAGAGAATTTTTTTGAACATTCATTGACTGAGAAATTGCACTGATAGTTATGTCTCTTGTAATATTAATTTGAGACTCAATCTTTGCAAGCTTGTTATGTATTTCATTTAGTTGTTTCTCCATTTCCTGGAGACGGTCATTAACACCCTATAAATGAAGGTTGTAAATAAATAAGTTAGTATATATGATTGAGGTTGTTGAATAAAAAAAAAGTATAAGATGTTTGATGCGAAACCTGAGTCATGTTAGAAATGAGTTTTGTTGCGGAGTATATGGCCTGAATAGTTTTCTGAGCAAGTAGTAGTTCAATTGCATTCTACAAAATGAACCATTAAATGAATTCAGCATATGTATGTACGTAATGTCAATGATTTTTGAGATGTAGTAGAAAATAAATGTTACCTTGGAATGATTTTCATGTTGCTTGGTTGTGTCAAGATTATTGGTTAGAGCAATAACTTCTATTGGCCTGTAAAAAAAGTATTGTTTAGCAAGCATAGAACTTCCATGAATGAATACAAGTGATTTACAATAAATGCATTGTTAAACTAACCCAAAAGAAGTTGAAGTGGTTTCAAAGGTTTCAGCATTTGTTGACGACGTAATGGTTGGACTTTTGTTTGTTGATGGCCCTGCCATTTCAATAGTAATTGGTTGTGTGTTCATGCGGTTGGCATCAGGAGAATTCATAGCAAGTGGTGAAGAATGTAGTTTATTTGTGTCCATTGTAAAGGAGTAAAGTGTGTTAAGGTTTTGTAATTGAGAATTTATTTTATTGTATAAATTTTGTAGACTTAGGGTTAATAATGAAATTCATTAATAGTTGATTTAATGTTTGACGTGTAGTCACCGAAGAATTAATTGCATGCAGCAGTGATATTTTGTAAGAAATGTGTGCTATTTTTGTACTGCAAACCGTAATAATTAATTTTGTAAAAGTTGTATGATCACCATAACTAATGAGTTCTTGAAGTAGGTGGGAACTAAGCAGTTACAGGACCCAGAGTTGTTGAGGATTTTGGGATTGCTTAGTACGGAGAGGGCAGCTGGTTTTGAGCTTGGTACTGATGGGATTTTGAGATTCAGAGGTCGAATTTGTTTACCTCATGATTCACAGTTGAAGAGAGCTGTTCTGGAGGAGGGACACATGAGTCGTCTTAGCATACATCTTGGTATGACTAAGATGTATCAGGACATCAAGAAAAGTTTCTGGTGGCCTGGTATAAAGAGAGAGTTAGCAGAGTTTATGGCAGCTTGTCTGACTTGTCAGAAAGCGAAGATTGAGCATCAGAGGCCCGAAGGGGTTTTACAGTTGATGGAGATTCCCGAGTGGAAATGGGATAGTGTCACTATGGACTTTGTGGTTGGGTTGCCTAGGACAGCTAGGAACAGTGACTCTATCTAGGTGATTGTTGATAGGTTCCTTTAGGAATTCCATCCACCTCCTCTGCCTCAAATTCAGCTCCTTCTGATCAAACAAGTACTTCAAACTCTTGTGATCACTGAATATGCTGAATCTCGCACCATACAGATAGTGTCTCCACGACTTCAAGGCAAAAACCACAACTGCAAGCTCCAAATCATGAGTAGGATAATTCCTTTCATGAGTCTTAAGTTGCCTCGAAGCGTATGCCACTACTCTCCCTCCCTGCATCAACACACAACCTAACCCTTGGTGAGAAGCATCACAAAACACATCAAAATGCTCACCAGTGTTAGGTAACTCCAAAACTGGAGAAGTAGTCAACCGTCTCTTTAACTCCTAAAAACTCTGCTCACAAGCATCCGTCCAAACAAAAGGTTGATCCTTTCGAGTCAGTTGAGTCAAAGGCATTACTATTCGAGAAAAACCATCAATGAATCTTCGATAGTAACCTGCCAACCCATAAAAATATATAAATGGATGAGAATATTAAAGTAGCAGTATCAAAAAAATGAATTACAAAATATAAAATGTTCAGTTCTAAATTTGAAGTAGCAGTAGCAACCATAAACCCGCGCATGTTCAGAATCAAGCTTTGTCAACATTCAAAACTAAATAATTGGGGTCATCCATTTTTTCAATTTTCAACATTTGGTGTTGGTTGTATCCTTGTCGCTTAATCAGGTGACCCCATTCTTTGCCCACGTAAAACTCCTTTTTGCTGCGCTTTGTACGCTTTCTGTTAATGTCAGACTTCACCATATTTCCTTGCTTATTAATCAACACACAAATTTTGTACTTGTTAACGTTCCAGACATCAACATATTTGACTGGAAAATACTGCAATGAGTAAAAGTTGTTGGTGATAAATGTTATTATTCATTTATAAATATAAAAACAAAAAATAGAATTCATTTTATTGCTGACCAATGGTTGTCGTCCGGTTGAAGCGGCCTTTGTCAGCGTTGGAAACCAGGTTATTGGATGTTTTTCAAGTTGGGTTGCAGGATATGTTTGAAGTTGGGTTGGTGGAATGGTTTGATCATTCTGAACTAAATGTTGATTTTCAATTTCAGGTTGCATAATTTGCACAGTATCCATGCTGAGAAAAAAAAACTGTAATTTAGTACTACAAATATTAATAAAATAATAATACATTGGGGTTTATGTGTATGTAAACTTTACCCGATATCTGTTGAAGTGTTGATGGTTTGTTTTTTCAATTGAGGATAGCATATTTCCTCCTCAGCAAAATTAAAAATACGCATATGAAAATTGTTAGTGTCATTGTAGTAGAAGTCAACTATGTGTTTGGATGTCAGACCATAGAAATTTACAATTTGTTTTACCCCATAAAACATGCCAACTGTTTGACCTAAAATTTTCAAATTAAGTTTAAAGGTGTTCCCGTTTGGGTCTCTTATCATGCACTGGCCTAGTTCTATCTTACCATTCCAGTGTCTGTAAAACTGAGCATTTAAAAATATCTGATCCTAACAATAACAAAAGAATTCAACGAACGATCAGTATGAATATTAATACTTTATAATAGTATTAAACCATTTATATGGAATTTGAAAGAAAAAATATAAAATAACTTAACCTTATTCGGTGATAACTCAGATTTGAACTGTTTGACTATGTTATCCATTTCAGAATTCATAAGAGGGTCCATTTTCTGCATTTTAAGGTTTTTATTTAATATACAAGAACATGCAACAAAGACAATACATGGGACGATGAAAAGAGTTTTAGAATCAATGATTTTGTTTATGATAACAGTAATAATAATCATAAAAAACTAAAGGTTTGTTAATTTTTTCATGAAATTTGTTATACTATAAAACCGAAAGTTAGTGAAAGGTAAAACAACATACATTTAAGTGTCTTGAATATTTATGTGTTAAGAAACAAATGTGAATAAAATAAACTAAAAATATACAATTTTCGAATCAAATACAATCATACCAGTAGATGCTGTTTAGCGTTGCAAAATGGAAAGGCGGTGAATTTTGGTGAATCCCTTGGATGGATATTAGGATTTTGGCAGACGGAAGAGGAAGAAGATGAAATACTTGGTTTTAGGAATCGTCTGTATCTCACTTGTGAAAAGAAAATATGATTTTCTGAAACGTGTGAAATTAATAAATAATGTAATTGAAAAAGTAATTAATATTATAAATTCAATAATTAAGACTGAAAAAAACTTTAAACATATTAACAAATTATTAATATTAAAATATTTAATTATAATACATGCTACATTAAGATGAAATTTAAAAAATATAAAAAAAATTAAACACATAACAAATTTGATAAACATAAATTATTAAAAACAATGAATTCAAAAAAAATAAAACAACTAATTACAATAAAATAAAATATATACATATATATGCGACGGTTCCGGTAACCTATGGGAACGTTAAATGAAACAAACATTACTAAA